TCGTTTGTTTAAAAAAAAAAAAAAGGTCCTTAGTTTAACGTTTCAGAGGAGTCCGGGACCTCAGGGAGACCAGTTTGCTCTTTAGACTTTAAAGGTAAGTCCTCTCTTCAGGGCATGGTTTTCGGGATAGGGTGTTTTGCGCATGCGCAAAGATTGCCATTCTGTGGATGGCTGCCTATGTGCCTGCGCAAAGTGAGTTTTTTTTAAAAAAAACGTGGACGCCCACTGTGTGTGAACGGGCATACAGCGATGGGCTCCGCAGACAGGAGGTAAGTGTGATTGGGTTTCAGCCGGCATAAACTGCAACGGTTAAAACTGGTACAGTTTATGCCGGCTGAAACGCCCTGTCTGAACGTACCCTATAAGTGCCACCCCTACCCGGGCAATGGAAGAGACCAGTCTCCTTGCCATATAATCTTCCTCGGGCCTCTTTCAAAATAGCAGGGCAAGACCAGCGCAGCCCAGTTCTCAAAGTCTCACAAGAGCCCTCTTAATCACGGGAGTTCAGTCACAATGCTTGGCTGCCTGTTGCCAGGGAAACCAATATGGCGGCCAAACTCCCTGAAGAGGAAGCAAACTTACGAGAGTTCAGGGAGCACTATCGGGTACGGGTTCAAGATTGCTCTCCAGAGATTATTTCCTCAGGGAGGCGGGAGCAGCGCAGGTAACTTCCATCAAAGGTACTACTACCTTTGATGGAAGTGACACACATCCTGACACACTGGATATTCGTTACCAGGATAATTTGGAGAATTTGTGCCGTTACTGTCCATGGCCCATTATACAAACTTTTAGCAACTGCAAAGCATATCAGAAAGCAACACCTGGTTCTAAGAAAAACTGTTTATACATTTCTGGATGTGTGTTATTGTATCAGGAATATTGGATGTGTGTTATTTTATCAGGAATATTGACCACTGAGGAAAGCCCAAAGGGGCCGAAACACGTATGGTCTATTGGTCAAAAGTTTTACCCGTCAATTGGACACGTATAACTAGGAGCTCTGAATGTTATAAGCTTTAAGAGTCTGATATTTGGACTATTTCTTTTAACCTTATGTATGTTCTATTTATGTCTACACCATAATAGGAAGGCCGAGCACCGAAGAATAGATCCTTTTGAACTATGGTGCTGGAGAAGACTCTTGAGAGTCCCTTGGACTGCAAGAAGATCAAATCAGTCAATCCTAAAAGAAATCAACCCTGACTGTTCCCTGGAAGGCCAGATAATGAAACTGAAGCTCAAATACTTTGGCCACCAAATGAGAAGGGAGCACTCACTGGAAAAGACCCTGATGCTGGGAAAGATTGAAGGTCAAAGAAGACAGGAACGGCAAAGGATGAGATGGTTAGACAGTGTCATGAGAAGAGAGCACTCACTGGAGAAGACCCTGATGCTGGGAAAGATTGAAGGTCAAAGAGGACGGGGACGGCAAAGATGGTTAGACAGTGTTTTCGAGGCAACGAACATGAAATTGAGCAAACTTCAGAGGACGGCGGAAGACAGGAAGGCCTGGCGTGATCTGGTCCATCGGGTCGCGATGAGTCGGACTCGACTGTGAGACTGAACAACAACATAATAAATATTTGTATTTTTATAACAATTTATTTGTTAGCTTGGCCCTCTTAGATCACAACCCTAGGCCAGGGCCTGCAGAGGGAAGAATTCACCTAGACTCTATAGTATACCACTCTAGAGCTGCCAGTTTCTCCAGGGGAACCGATTTCTGTAGTCTGAAGAACTCCAGGCTCCACCTGGAGATTGGGAATTCTAGAGCAGGGGTGCAGCAGAAGGCAGAAGCGAAGGCTCCGGAAAGGAAAGGATCACCATCGGGGTGAGAGGAGAACACCATGGACCTCAAAAATGGTCAAGAAAAAGACATTCCAAGCCACAGGGAAGACGGAGCTCGCCAGATTTCCTTTCTGTCTTATTCCTCAGAGGCCACAGACACACCATGCGGGACGCTAAACGACAACAATCCCTCGCGACTGGATTCTCATGGCTTGCAGAAGACGATCCAGTTCTGGAAGGCCGCGATAAGCACATCGATAGCCCTACCTCCAACCCTGTGGGGAAATCTGTCACAGTGTTTGCGAGGAAAGCCCTGTGATGCCCGTGCTCAGAGGCAGAAGACGACAGAATGAAGAGGCGACAGAGTGAAGAGGCAAAGCAAGGCAAGCAGGCTTCTTGATAAAGCAAAAACATCCATGCTGGCTACTGGCCAACCCATTTCCAATCTCTACCTGGAAAGCCTTCCGTCAGCGAGGCCCAAACCACCCTCCGGATTTTGCCTCCGGAAACGGAGCTTGTACCCAACACTGTCAAGCTTAATAGCCACGCAACTGACACCATATCCCAAGCCCTGCCCAGGCTCTTCCAGTGCGCAGCCAGTGGAGATGCGCATGAGTTGTCATTCTGAACTTCTTTTCACATCATGCTGTCTTGTTGTTTACCAGCAAACACTGCTCAGTTTTTAATGAACTTCCTTTCTTCCCGTTGTGAGGTTTGAGCAAACTTAACCGGAGGACTCAAGTGTTTTAAAACGCACTGAACTTGCTATTAATTCATTAATTCCTGGTTGATTTCAGCAGACTTTATTTCTAGATGTATGCCTGGGCACACTTAGCATGGTCAACTCTCACAGACTTCAGCCTTTCACTGTTACCAGTAGAAAAGATCAAGAGTCCAGTAGCACATTAAAGACTAGCACAATTTGTGGCAGGGTACGAGCTTTCACGAGTCACTGCTCACTTTTTCAGATACCAGAGCCAGTTTGGTGTAGTGGTTAAGTGCACGGACTCTAATCTGGGAGAACCGCGTTTGATTCCCCACTCCTCCACTTGCACCTGCTGGATGACCTTGGGCAAGCCGTAGTTCTGATAAGAGCTGTTCTTGAAAAAGAGCAGTTTCTGTCAAGAGCTCTCTCAGCCCCACCTACCTCACAGGGTGTCTGTTGTGGGGAGGGGAAGGGAAAGGAGTCTGTAAACCGCTCTGAGACTCTCTTGGGTAGGGAAGGGTGGGGTATAAATCCAATCTCCTCTTCTTCTTCTTCTACCTCATAGGGTGTCTGTTGTGGGGAGGGGAAGGGAAAGGAGTTTGTAAGCCACTCTGAGACACCTTTGGGTAGTGAAGGGCGGGGTATAAATCCAATCTCTTCTTCTGAAGAAGAAGTAGTAGTGAACACTGACTCATAAGAGCTCCTCCCCTGCCACAAATTTTCTTAGCCTTTAAGGTGCTCCAGGACCCTTGCTCTTTTCTAGTGATGAAGACAGACTAACAGGGCTACCCATCCTGATCTATCACTGTTATCAGTTTATGATACGGGCCATCACAACATGCTGAGGCGATGGGTTGTACAGGTTAATCACGCACGGTATGAAATACGATGTGTCGGATTGAAAAACTAATTAAGGGACATGCCCAATAACTGTAGAGATGACGTCTCTAGAGAGAGACATATTGGATGTAAGACTCTCGTGTTCAAGATTTGTTACAAGCATAATACGTATTGTTATTAGAAAAGTTATTAAAAAGAAGAAAGAAATATGACGTGTCGGATCCTTCCAGGATCTCCACTGATGCAAGAGAGACCAGGATCAATGTTGTCAAGACTACCGTTCTCACCACAACAGCTCCTGACCCACAAAGGTACCACAACTCCCGGCATAGCCTTTTTAGGTACCAGATCCTCTCCTCCATCTTGCATGAGTCGAAAAACACGGTAGCCTCCCAACTGACATCCTATTGGTTCAGTCGGCCGCCTATCATTTCTCAGGGACTGTTTTCAAGAAGTTTTGTGTTTGCGGAAGGGCAAGCCATCTTCTGTAGCCTAAATCGGGAATCCCACTTCCTGTCCTTCCCCCAAGTGGCCTTACCCATCGATTCCCACCTCTTCTCTTTCCACCCAGCCACAGACCAATGGCATTATGTGAAAACAGAGCTCAACTGCAGACGCCAGGAACCCCCTGAGAAACACCTGGCCAATTTTTTAGAAAGCCACCGAATTGACAAATATCCCTCCTGCACTCATTACCATACAGAGAGGAAGGGATTTTTAAAAAGACCGGAAAATAACACTGGAAAATAACACTGTGTACGAAGGCTCGGAGCCGGAAGGGAGGATACCTGCCAAAGCCGCATCTCCAGCCATACGTGACGGAGAGATGGCTAAAAAGGGAGGGCTGGGAAGCCGGAAGGGAGATTTTTGGCAGAAGGTGTACATGTTTGCAGCGGGAGATCTCCCGATTAGACAGGGACAGGTGGGCCGAACGGAGAGAAAGGGGGGGGGAAGCAAAGGAAGCCGAGAAAGGGGCCGGAAAGGAAATTGGTGCCCATGCAGGAGAAGGTGTAAGGGAAAGGAAGAGAAGGAGACAATGAAGGAAGCCTCACACAGGGATGAATGCGGAGAGGCAGAGGTGCAGGGAAGACCGGATCAGCAGACAGAGGGGATGTATACAAGGATGATGCATTCTAACAGGAGACATCTGGCTTCAACAGAGCTACAATGTGCTGCAGTGGGTTCCCAAGGCTGAAAGCAATGGTCTTATGGGGGGGGGGATTTGGGGCAGGGGGGAAATCAGCCCCCCCCCCGGGATTTGGGTGTAGCTGGAGGTGAGGGGGCAACGAGGGGCAGGTGCCCCCTCCGCACACAGCAGGGGGGCAGCTGCCCCCCTTCCGAGCAGCACCACCCCGGGCCCCCCCCCGCCCTCTTACTCACACGTAAGCGTGGTAGATGAACGCCCAGCCGCGGGGCCTCTCGAGCACGTTGTAGAGGAAATTCTGGAGCTTGCGGTAGAAGGCGTTCCTCTTGGGCGGCTTGCCGGAGACGGCCGAGCGGGGCTTGCTGAGGATGGAGCCGCGCTTGCTGCCCCCCTCCGGGCCGGCGATCAGCAGCGCCCCGTCGCGGGTGGAGTCCGGCGCGCCGGGGTCCAGCCCCACGAAGCCCACCTTCAGCTTCTTCTCGCCCGCCCCGCCCGGGTAGACGCCGCCGTTGCGCGACTTCTGCACCATCCTGCCGCCGCTTCCCCGGGCGCGGGTTCCGATCCGGCGCGTCAGAGGGGCGGCGGAGGAGGGCCGGGGGGCTGCCCGGGCCCGGAGGGGGGCTTCGGCATGGCGGGGACGCTGCGAAGAGGACGAGGCGCCGCCTCCGCCGTTGCTCCCGCTGCTGCTGCTGCCTCGGTGCAAGGCAAAGGCGCCCGGGCGACTCCGGGGAGCCCCCGCCGGCTCCTGGCGCAGCTCCGCCCCGGCCTGGCGCAGCCGCCTCCCCTTAACCCTTCCCTCGCCTGTCCGGAGGAGGAGGAGGAGGAGCCATCGGAGCCCCGCCCCCCGGGGGTTGTGGCTAGTGTTCCCTCTAAGCTGAGTTAGTGTGAGCTAGCTCACAGTTTTTTAGCCTCCGGCTCACACATTTTTTCTCCGCTCGGGAAGGAGGGCTCCGGAGCGAACTAATGTATGCAGTAGCCAAATCGCTCGCTCACAACTCTAATGCCAGTGGCCTGCAAAGTAGAATTTTTGCTCACAAGACTCCACAGCTTAGAGGGAACATTGGTTGTGGCACGCAGCTTTCTCTCCCCCACCCCTCCCCAAGCTTGTTTTGCAGCACCTGCGACCAGTGTTCCCTCTAAGCTGAGTTAGTGTGAGCTAGCTCACAGTTTTTTAGCCTCCGGCTCACACATTTTTGCCTTCGCTCAGGAAGGAGGGCTCCAGAGCGAACTAATTTATGCAGCAACCAAATCGCTCGCTCACAACTCGAATGCCAGTAGCCTGCAAAGTAGAATTTTTGCTAACAAGACTCCACAGCTTAGAGGGAACATTGGTTGTGGCACGCAGCTTTCTCTCCCCCCCCCCTCCCCATCCCCACGCTTGTTTTGCAGCACCTGCGACAAACCGCAGCCCTCTGAGTTAGTGTGAGCTAGCTCACAGTTTTTTAGCCTCCGGCTCACACATTTTTGCCTTCACTCAGGAAGGAGGGCTCCAGAGCGAACTAATTTATGCAGCAACCAAATCGCTCGCTCACAACTCGAATGCCAGTAGCCTGCAAAGTAGAATTTTTGCTAACAAGACTCCACAGCTTAGAGGGAACATTGGTTGTGGCACGCAGCTTTCTCTCCCCCCCCCCCAGCC